TCCCAGGTTCTTGGCTTGAAAGCCTGGGTGTGAATCCGGATGGGCGTGCTGGACGGGGCTTGGTGTGCCTTGATTTTGTGGGATGCGACGGGGATCAAGTTGAGAATCTCCTGGGAAAAAAGGCCAAACTGAAACACTCCTCACAAGCATCCATGAACCTTTGTTAATAGCGGTTAATCACGGTCATTGCTGCCCACTAATTGGTCATTGATAATGGCCGATCATGGGATATTTCATTAATGCTATACCATCCGGTAGTCAATCGTGGCAATGGGAAATCATTCATACAGATACATGTAGTTTTATAGCTGGTAAAATCAACTGTAGATCGGAGATTTTCCATTACGAGAGGGTAACCAGAGCGGAAATGCTGGCAAATATAGACAAGTGGTTGCCAGTGTTTGCCATGCACTTGGAGCGCATGATGATCATTGCCTGAATCCTGGCGACAGCAGCACGGATATCATGCATCAAATTTGACAGCCAGAAAAGCAGATCGTTGAATACGTACACCCTCCGCTAGTCAAGCGTGGCGTTGGACAAAATTCCCCTTTATAGTTGTTTTCCATCTCTAAACCGAGAGGGTAAAGCAAATATCAATAGATTGTAATAGATTATCACCAGGTTGGCGGTTGCAACTTTCACATTTTTGCTGAGATCTCGGGCGAAAATTGAAAAATAATCAATGACCAGTCATTTATGAGTACCAAATATGTGGATTCAACATGATTCAACCTCTGCTTGATAGTTGAATGGCTTACTTTTTTTTTTCGCAACATCACCAAACACAAACCAATTTGTCCTTTTAAGCCAGCCACAAACCAATGAGACGCATATTTAATCATGTATATATTATTTCAACCAGTGTCCTCTATATCCAGGCTTCTGTGTTCCCAGGGACGTGTCCGTACAAGGTTGGTTTTGAACTATGTTCGAACTATGTTCGAACTATGTTCGAACTATGTTCGTTTTGACGTTTTAATTTGGGGAATTGTACCTCATGATGATGTTTTATGTAAATTTTGACGTTTTAGTTGATGTTTTGTCTTGACCCTGGGTACATTTTGAGGCCTGGATATAGGGGACTCTGGTCACTGGTTGATATTACGTATTATATGTTATTATGTAATATTATAAAACAGTATGCAGTATTTTTTATACATTATATACACATTATTTTTACAGTGTGGCTGATCTTCCTGGTGTACACATTTGAGAACACAAACGCGCTTGAACATATATTTATTTGTGTTTTGGTTGGTGTTCTTTGTTTTGGTCTGATCCGGTCAATTTCTAAGATCTCATTCAATCCACCAAAGGAAATTGTTGACACCGGCAGTAGACGTTGTCCTCAATGTTCTGAAAATTTCCTTCTGTAAGAAGTAATGTTGCAGTTCATGTTCTAAAGCAGGGCGTATGGAGTAAATGACGTTGCAAATGACGTTGCAAAAAATCCATCGAATCGGGGTGTCAAAATTAATGGGGGTTCCAAACCCTTTTTCGTGACCCTGCCCATTGATTTTGAAACCCCCATTCAAGGGATTTTTTTTTTACTTGACGATATATAACATTTGGTCATTTGGTCATTTAAAATTGTGTGTACAATAGTAAATTCACCGGGATCATATGGCTCTAAGTTCTACTGCCTTTGATTGGCATGGTCATGAGTCATGAGTCAGGTTGTGTGGTTTTGAGCCGAGAGGTGAGCCAAGCACTGCGTTGATAGATGGCGTTTTGGGTGCGGGATACAGAAAGCGTCGCAGAATTCAGATACTTTTGGGAGGACAAGCCAATGACGTTGTGGCGTGGCCTGTTTGTAGGCAAACAGCGAGCAGTTTATAGACATTGCAGCATGCACAATACTCAGGCCAAACCAAAACACACCATCTTATTTTATTTTATGCTGAATACTTATGAAGTTTAAGTTTAAACTTGGCAGGGTGGATCGCTGGGTTGAAAGAAAACTTTCTGCCAACAGTTTTCTGGTTCAGTGTTTCTGCTGTGGTTGGTTCGATTTCTATTCCAAGGTTTTTTCAACTTGAGTATCCCTTTCCCAACTTCTCAGATCTTGTCACGTTTTCAAATTTAATGTTTGCTTGCCGGCGAAGTGGCTTTACCAAACCCGGGTTTTCAATACTGCGTGTTTTTAGCCAAACCATGAAATGGAACTTGGTTTTCCCGTTCTCTTCTTTTTCAACTTGGGGCCCCCATGGGGTTGCAAGTTGCAAGCTTGGAGATTCTGTGAGAAAAGCATGGTCAACCTGGCATTCTCAGAGCCTTCCCAGGACGAGCAAGAGCAGAAGCATTTTGAGTTTCTGAACATGGCATATCACAGTTCAACATAGTTTCAGACATAGTTCAAGACATAGTTCAAGACATGAACTTATAGAGGATGCAAACCTAAAATGGACGTTTCGAACTATTTCGAGCTATTTCGAACTATTTCGAACTATTTCGAACTATGTTCGAACTATGTTGCTGGCAACGTTTTCGTTTTGAAAAGGTGGAGTAATGTGAGTCAGGATTGGCCCTGCTTTGCAGGACGGACCTCAGCGATCAGGAAAGGCGAATGAGAAGTTGCACGCTATCAAAAAAAAATTGGTTTGCTCAGTGCCGGGCCAAGGCCTTTCACCCAGACGCTTGAGAAGCCACGATGGGATATGTTGAACGAACGAGAATTGGTGAAGTTGGATGTGGAAGTCGCCAGATTGAAGGCCAGGCTTGGCCAGACTGACGGACTGTTGGGGACATTGCTCATTGCTAATCCTTTCGATATCCTTTCGCTGCATGGGCCCATGATTTCCAAATCAGAAATGAGAAAGATCCACAGAGTTTCCGTAATGTATTGTTACTTCATTTTCCTAATATCTTTCAGACTATAGGCCAGCCCAGAGAGCAACTTACTTTGTGCTACTTCATTCATTACTGACTTACTGCTACATTTCTGAAAAGTAAAGCCAAGCTAAGAACATTTGACTTTAACTTATTATTATTACTTGACTATAACCTTAACTTACAACTTACAATTTGAACCTATAACTTTAACTTAAAACGGTCAAAACAGACTTTAAAAAATAAAAACATATGCTTTTTCTGGCTTTTACCGTGCACTTGAACCGTTCCAAACCGTTCGAAGGTAAAAACAGCCCAAAAGCGAAATAGTTCGAAATAGTTCGAAATAGTTCGATGCCTCTTGAACCGTTCCAAACCGTTCGAGGGCACAGGAAAAAATGACACTTGAACCGTTCCAAACCGTTCGACGGGGGCCACTTATACTGGCTGATGTTGGATCATATTTTGTTTTGTTTTTTTTATGATGTTGATATCTTTTGACATCTTTTGACTTTCTTTTGAGAACTTGTCACTTTATCTGTTTTGACGTTTATCTTATGATTCTTTGATGATTTGGACACCAGTCAAACCAAACCAGTCCAAATAAAACGTCAAAACCACTTGGCATTCTGACGTAGGCGGTGCCACAGGGGGAATGGTTTTGATCCCCACGTGAAAATTCTTTGGGAATGATGAATATGAATATAGGCATTTCCCCTTGGTCACCTAAAATTTTGGAGAAATCAAATGAGAGGGTTAGATACCATCATCCGCCCAGTTCGCCTTTTGCCGCAATGAACAACATCGGAAGCTCCATCGTATAATTATATACATTGTTACATTGGTCTTACTTTGGGCTACTGGTTCTTCAAAGTCATGTGTTTATCTTGGCCAAAACGTCAGTTGCAACGTCATTTACTACATAAGCCCTGCTTTAGAACATGAACTACAACATTACTTCTTACATAAGGAAATTTTCAGAACATTGAGGACAACGTCTACGGACGGGTCAACACTGATAGAGGACACTGGTTGAAATAATGTATATATATATATATATAACCACATATGTGCATGTGTATGCATGTATGTATATTTAAATATCATTATGTACGTATGTTTATGTTCATATATATATATATATAATCACATATGATATTATTTAGAATTAGATATTTACAATGATATAGATGTAATTCAGATATAGATATAGTAAACACGAAAAACAAATCGCCACTAACGAGCTCGGCGTTAGTAAGGATGGCCAGCAACTCCTTCGCGGCGGTGGTGTCCATTCAGCCACTCGCACCGGGGGGCAGTGAGTTTCATGGGGGATTAAATGAGTTTGGATGATGTTTGGAGCAGTTTTTTTGCATGATGATTTTAAATAGTTTTCATTGATGTTCGATGATATTTTGAGAGGAATTTTGGATGAAATTCCAGGAGGAATGATTTTGCATGACTGTAGCCTTGAAAACCTGCAGTAAAGAATTGGATGATGGTATTCTTATTGTCCATGATACCTGGGATGATGGGTTCAATACCACCAGCCAGAGATGTTAGCAACCCATTCTACGAGATTTGCTGGCATAGTGGTTGCCAAGATGCCGTGGATGCAGGTATGGGGCAAAATTCTGACTTCAACAACCATTGCGTGCCGCATTTTCAATAGGAGGAAGCGTACAGTGGACACAGAAAAAATCTGGCTCCAAGAAAGTATTAAAAAAACATGTCACGCGCGATCACGCTTTTGGGGGCACGTTGGCGCGGAACTTGGGAATGCAACAGCCCGGTGTTTTTCATTGAATCTCACAGGACGATGATAGCCTTTCATCATCCGGGTCTACTTCGGTGTTTGGAAGATGGGATATTCGGCACCACTGAAGCTCGGCTGTGATTCTAATCGCCCCCGTGACGTTGATGATGATGATGATGATGATCATGATGATGATGGTGATGATGATGATGGTGAGGGTTTTGGTGACGGTGATGATCATGATGATTGTCAAGAAACATCCACTTCTCACGGGTCAAAATCCTTTGGAAGGGTATCTGCCGTACAAGTCGTGGAATTTTTCATGTCACGGGGCTTGGCTGGCTCCCAGTAGCTGATACATGTAATGGCTCGAAGATGTTGGGATCCAAACCAGCGTTTGCGCTCTTGATAATTCTTTTTGGAGTATTTCCACCCCCACTATCCACTTGGGGTCAAACGCGAGCTTGTCCGCCACTTTAGCTATGCACATAGCTGGCCAGCAGTGGCAATTTCATCGGCGCATCATGGCGTTCAACACGGTCATCACCTGGATGCACCATCGGATCAGAAGGTGAGGACTGTAGACTAGCAGTGCCCTCCTGGCCGCCTGGGGCATCTGTAAAGCTTGGATTTTCCAGCCAGAGGGGTTGGAGCATCAGAGGCTATAGTTTTGGCAAATGGTGCAACTCAGAGATTCTTGAGGTCTCATGCTGTTAAAGATTAAATGTGTAATGAATTTGTGGTCTTTATATCTGAAGTGAGCCATGAAAATGGACACAAGTAGAGGCCCCTATCCATCTTGAACCGGGCCAGGCGATGGCAGCGGAGTTGCGGTTGCTCAGGCTCGAGTTTTAGCGTGTGGATCCGTGGTAAAATGGGAAATGGGCAGTGCCTAAAGCACATCAGTTTTAGTTTTTTAAAACATAATTTCAAATTTATTTAATTTGTTTGGTGTATTACGGATTATGTGTGCTGTTTTGAATATCTATATATATATATATACCAGTAGTACCGCACAAGGCGGTGGCGGAAGTTTCAAAAATAGGAAACCTATAGGAGCGGTTGGTGGTTGTGAATCAGGGATGGCAGAGCGAAGCCACTGATGGACCGAAAGGTGCTTGAGGCCTCCTCTCTTTCTCTCTCTTTCTCTGACTATCTATCTATGTATCTATCTATGTATCTATCTATCTATCTATCTATCTATCTATCTATCTATCTATCTATCTATCTATCTATCTATCTATCTATCTATCTATCTATCTATCCTATCTATCATATCTATCATATCTATCATATCTATCATATCTATCATATCTATCATATCTATCATATCTATCTATCTATCTATCTATCTATCTATCTATCTATCTATCTTCCTATCTATCCTATCTATCCTATCTATCCTATCTATCCTATCTATCCTATCTATCCTATCTATCCTATCTATCCTATCTATCCTATCTATCCTATCTATCCTATCTATCCTATCTATCCTATCTATCCTATCTATCCTATCTATGCTATCTATCCTATCTGTCCTATCTATCCTATCTATCCTATCTATCCTATCTATCTAATCTATCTAATCTATCTAATCTATCTAATCTATCTAATCTATCTAATCTATCTAATCTATCTAATCTATCTAATCTATCTAATCTATCTAATCTATCTAATCTATCTAATCTATCTATCTATCTATCTATCTATCTCTCCATCTATCGATCTATTGTAGTTGTAGTTGTAGTTGTTGTGGTTGGTTGTTGTGGTTGGTGTTGTTGTTGTTGTTGTTGCTGTTGCTCTTGCTGTTGTCGTCGAAGTTAGGGTAGTTGTGTTAGTGAAGGTACTTAAGTTAGTCAAGTTAGTTAAGTTAATCAGTGTCTACTTTTTCGACATCAGCACGTCAAAAAAGGCTCAAAACACTCAGTTTTTTACACTTTTGACTTCGAAATGTGCTTCGCGCCACAACGGCGTGCACTTTTTCGACACTTTTTCGACACTTTTTCGACATCTGAACCTCCAAAAGTGGTCCGAGACCGCCAGTTTTTAACACTTTTGACTTGGAAATGTGCTTCGCGCCACAACGGCGTGCACTTTTTCGACATCGCAACTTCCAAAAGTGGTCCGGAGCTGAGGTGTTTTGTACATTTTGACTTCAAAATGTGCTTCGCGCCACAACGGCGTGCACTTTTTCGACATCGCAACTTCAAAAAGTGGTCCGAACGTGGTGTGTTTTGTACATTTTGACTTGGAAATGTGCTTCGCGCCACAACGGCGTGCACTTTTTCGACATCGCAACTTCCAAAAGTGGTCCGACGCTGGTGTGTTTTGTACATTTTGACTTCAAAATGTGCTTCGCGCCACAACGGCGTGCAATTTTTCATCTCTCATCTGGCCAGCTGCCTCCGCACCCGCCGCTTTAGCGAGCCTACTTTTCGAGCCTCCGGAGCCCCAAATCATTGGAAAAACACATTGTTTCGCGACTTTCCTACCTTTTCGCGCATCTGCATCTTCTTTCTTCTGACTCTTTCTCTTCTACTCTTCTCTCTTCCAATCTTTCTCTTCTCTCTGCCTCTGCCCTGCTCTGCTTTTGATCTGTCCATATTGTCGGAAGTTTGACTTCTAAACTTCCTTCGATTACTTGAAAACGTTTTTAGGTATATAAATCAATAAATAAATAAATGAATACTGTAAATAAATAAATATATATATATATATACTACTAAAGAGAAACATCATGTGACTCTTGATGCTCATCTTGCTAAAGGGGGTGAAGCTTGGGCTTGGCATGTAAACAAGTTTGCGGATGAACTTGCTGTTGTCACAGCGCTTTCCAACGCTCCTTTTGTCACAAAGGAGACGCATGATTGGATCCTTGGACGGACCGAACGCCTTACTGAGCGGACACGCATTAAGTACTGGCTTACGCAGGAAGCTGACCTTCCCAAACCAGTCCCTGATGGGCCTCCGCGCGCAAAACTGGATTTTTTCCGTCAGGCTAAAACGAAGTGTTTTGGTGGGCACATTTGGGTGGCAAGTAACCAAGGCTTGCATTGCACCGCATGCCTGAGTGTGTTGAAGCAATACCGTTTGTTGTCGGACTTGGAAGTCCTCGCTTCATTGCCTCGCCCTGGGGCAGGAACTGAAATGAACAGGGTGTGGGCACCCCCTTTTGCATAAGGTACATTTCACTCACGCCATGGATGGTACTGAATCAACCCTTACGTGTCGTAGTTGTGGTGCTAGGCTCACTGGGCATTGCACAGGCGCACAGGTTTAAGCAGGAAATTGCGTTTGCCTTGCGGGACTTCTGCGTTGAGGTTGCAGAGGCGGCGTTCGTGATTTGGCTTGCAGTTCCTTTGTCAAATACATACATATATATATATATATGTTTATATTTCGTATCTATTTATATACTTTATATATATATATGCATTTATTTGTTGATCTATTTATCTTTTTTTAATGTTTAAATATATATATATATGTTTAAATATGTTTACTTAAATTCATAAATATAAAATATAATATATATATACATATGAAATTACATATGTATATTTTTGTTTGTATATTTGTATATATATATATATTCATTTTTAATATCTTCTATATATGCATATTTGTTTTTACAAACATTGATACACATTTAAATATTTACATGTGCATACATGTATGTGTGTTTGATTACCTTTGTATTTGCATATGTGTGTGCACCTTTGGTACGCAGTAAAATGGGGAATATGAACCATTTTCAGACACCTTCCCTAAATATCATATTACTGGTCAAGTGGTAAAGAAACGTTCCATATTCATCCAGAATAATGCCATGATTCATTCAACCATGGCAATCCATGGTCAAACCCCCCACTTATACTAGATAATAATCGTTAAATTCACGTGTGTTCTCCCTACTTCCATGATATTTTCACAATATTTCCATAAGCATATATTCCGATAATATCCCATGATATTCCCATGATACTTCCATGATAGGTCCCATTTTTCCATCCAGTTCTTGAGCATGCAGCTTACCACCATCCTGGGATGGCCACCCGTCGCCAGGCTGCGGGGAGTCCAGGTGAATGCCTTCCACTACACGCGCTGCCTGGGAAACAGCTGGGAAGAAGCGTGGGGCTGAGTCAAAACCCACGGAATCCCATGGTGAAGGCGAAAATGAGAGTTACGATATAGATAATGAAGCTTCATCCATTCCACATCCCCCAAAATGTGTCGAAATATGGTTTATTGTGATTTTAAATGGCACATTTCTAGGGCCTAGAATGTTTGTCCATCCCCATTTGCTTTTCAGCTCAGTCACATATCAGGCCGAAGGAAGTGGATCCAAGATTTTTCACTAGGGTGCCGGCGAGGAGGGATTCAGTGCTGTTGCATGGTGTTAAAAAATGCTACAAACTGTGGATGTTTTCCAACTAGCCTGTTTTTAAAATTCAAAACCAAGCATGAAAATAACTAGCCGGTGGCGTCCTGTTTTGAAATTCCTGGGATGATGATCCCCAATGACCTGCCTATATTTTGCACGGTGGAGCAAGCACCAACCAGCTCATTGTTGGTCAAGAATTGGTTTGGCGTTTCTTTCAAACACTTCTGGAAATACACTAAGGAGCAAACATGTTTTATGTGTTTTTTTGTTTGCAGGCTACCCTCTAGTAATCAAAGATTGCTTGCCTCACCGGAGGGTACCCATTAAATATCCTTTTTTAGATTGATTTCCAGCATTCCACATTATAATCATTTAAGGGTAACATGAACCGCTTTAAACAATTATTTATCATTGTTAGCCACTAATTGGTAACCATTGTTCATGTGAAACGGCTGATTGATCGACAGACTCGCCAGAGAGAGGTAACCATCATTAATCATCATTAACAATTGTTAACCCTTAATAACCGCTATTGACTATTGTTAATATTCGAAAAGTATTTCCGGTATCGTTATTGATTACGATTAACCATCATGAAGCATGATTATTACCACATGATTAAGCATAATTAATCATCCCTAACAACCCATTCTCCCATGAAATAACTCATTAATAGCTATTTTCCAGTATTACCTCAGTATTGACCAGTAATAAACATTCATTTTTAACAACTATTCACAGCTGTGAGCGATTTTAATCATTATGAAATAGCCATTATAAACATTTATTTATATTTTTTTAAATTATAGTTAAAGCTTGACTGCTGATCTCCCGAGATGGCGATGGAGAGAGAGAAAGCTAATATTATAACATGGGTAGTATTTTTATGACAACCATGGGCCATGGGTAGTATTATTAGCAAATACTAAAGCTAGGACTGATAGCTATTATTCACCACGATCCCATTAAAACTAGCCATGTTGACCCCGCCGGGTTCTCCAAGGCCCCGGCCCTGCTGATAGACCTGGCTTTGCGGGCCGTGCAAACGGATATTTATTGCTTCTTGACATGCAACGGACGCATTGGAGACTCACCTCTGCTGCATTTGGTTGGGGGTTCTGGGATTTTTATCTTTTCTTTTTTTTTTTAGTTTTATGCAATCTCATTGGGTTTCATCGAAGTTTTGGGAGAATCTTGGTAACGCAATAGTAAGCACTCCATGTTTTGTTACAGAGGCATTTCCATAAATCACAAATATTTTGATTGGTTTTACCAGCCATTTAAAGTAGAACTGGGGACGGTGTACTGTTGCTTGACTGAAATTATTCACCTGTGTTGCCTGCATCCACCAAGACATTCAAAGAATCCATAAATTGATAGTTGGTAGAAATGCCAGGTAAAATATCAATCTTTATCAGTCAATGGAGCGTCTAGGTGTTGTAACATAAGGATCCCGATCGTTCTGGCAAAGGAGTGGTGTCAGAAGCATAGCAGGTGGAAATTTGAACCAGCCAGCCACAATCCGAAAGAAAACTGTCAGCATCAGATTTTGTTTGAAAATGGAATACCCCAAAATCCAGTGGATTCTCATCCCTTCACCATGAATATCAGCAGTTTGGCGGGTGACCAAAACTACATTCAGACCTAGCAGCTGATTCAGGCAGTGCATGTGGCAGCCGAGGTTTCAACGGAGCTGCCAATCTCTCCGGCAAAGCAAGTCGTTGGTAGCTTGGCGCGCATGACCAGATGTATATTCGCAGATTGTATCCCATATACCCGTATATGTATTATTCTCTGATGATATGCTACGATATGAATGTGTGCATTTATGTATGTATGTACTGTATGTAATGTATGTAATGTATGTAATGTATGTAATGTTTGTTTGTTTGTTTGTTTGTATGTATGTATGTATGTATGTAGTGTAATGTAATGTGATGTGATGTGATGTGATGTAATGTTATGTTATGTTATGTATGTATGTATGTATGTATGTATGTATGTATGTGTGTCTGTATGTATGTATGTACGTACGTACGTATGTATGTATGTATGTAAAGTATGTATGTAACGTATGTAATGTACTGTATGTGTGTATGTAATGTATGTAATGTATGTAATGTATGCAATGTATGTAATGTAGTGATGTATGTAATGTATGTAATGTATGTAATGTATGTAATGTATGTAATGTATGTAATGTATGTATATATATATATTTGTATGTATGTATGTATGTATGTATGCGTGTATGCATGTATGCAATGTAATGTAATGTCATGTAACGCAATGCAATGCAATGTAATGCAATGTAATGCAATTTAATGCAATGCAACGCAATGTAATGTAATGTATGTAATGTATGTAATGTAATGTACTGTACTGTAATTTAACGTAATGTAATGTAATGTAATGTATGTATGTAATGTATGTAGTGTATGGTATGTATGTTTTGTATAAATATGTATGTATGTATGCGTGTATGTATGTATGTAATATAATGCAATGTAATGCAATGCAATGTAATGTAATGCAATGTACGTATGTATGTATGTATGTATGTATGTCATGTAATTTAGTATAATGTAATGTAATGTTAAGCAATGTAATGTAATGTAATGCAATGCAATGTAATGTAATGTACGTATGTATGTATGTATGTAAGTATGTAATGTAATTTAGTATAATTTAATGTAATGTAATGTTAAGTAATGTAATGTAATTAATGTAATGCAGTTTATGTTAAGTTTGTTTTGTTTTGTAATTTAACGTAATTTCATGGATTGTAATTTAATGTAATGTATATAATGTAATTTAATGTACTGTAATGTAATGTACGTGTGTGTATGTGATGCGATGTAATGTAATGTAATTTTATGTAGCGTAATGTAATGTATGTATGTATGTATGTATTTATGTATGTATCGTATGTAGTGTATGTAAGGTATGTAATGTATGTAATGTATGTGATGTATGTGATGTCTGTATGTATGTATGTATGTATGTTTGTAAGCATGTATGTATGCATGCATGCATGCATGCATGTATGTATGTATGTATGTATGTAACGTATGTAACGTATGTAACGTATGTATGTATGTATGTCTGTATGTATGTGATGTTTTCAATGTATGTAATGTATCTAATGTATGTAATGTATGTATGTAATGTAATGTAATGTAATGTAATGTAATGTAATGTAATGTAATGTAATGTAACGTATGTATGTATGTATGTATGTAATGTATGTATGTATGTATGTATGTAATGTGATGTAATGTAATGCAATGTAATGTAATGTTATGTAATGTAATGTATGTATGTATGTAACATATGTAACGTATGTAACGTATGTAACGTATGTAACGTATGTATGTATGTATGTATGTATGTATGTATGTATGTATGTGTGTATGTAGTACTGTATGTGTGTATGTAATGTATGTAATGTATGTAATGTATGCAATGTATGTAATGTATGTGATGTATGTAATGTATGTAATGTATGTAATGTATGTATGTATGTATGTAAGTATGTATGTATGTATACATGTATGTATGTATTGTAATGTAATGTAATGTAATGTATGTATGTATTTATGTATGTATGTATTTATGTATGTATCGTATGTATCGTATGTAATGTACGTAATGTATGTAATGCATGTAATGTATGTAATGTAATGTATGTAATGTATGTATGTATGTAATGTAATGCAATGTATGTATGTATTTATGTATGTATCGAATGTAACGTACGTAATGTTTGTAATGTATGTAATGTATGTAATGTATATGATGTATGTGATGTATGTACGTACGTACGTACGTATGTATGTATGTATGTTTGTAAGCATGTATGTATGCATGCATGCATGCATGTATGTATGTAATGTAATGTAATGTAATGTAATGTAACGTATGTAACGTATGTAACGTATGTAACGTATGTATGTATGTATGTCTGTATGTATGTGATGTTTTCAATGTATGTAATGTATCTAATGTATGTAATGTATGTATGTATGTAATGTAATGTAATGTTATGTAATGTAATGTAACGTATGTATGTATGTATGTATGTATGTAATGTATGTATGTATGTAATGTGATGTAATGCAATGTAATGTAATGTTATGTAATGTAATGTATGTATGTATGTAACATATGTAACGTATGTAACGTATGTAACGTATGTAACGTATGTATGTATGTATGTATGTATGTATGTGTGTATGTATGTGTGTATGTATTTATGTATGTATCGTATGTAATGTATGTAATGTATGTGGTGTATGTAATGTATGTAATGTATGTAATGTATGTAATGTATGTAATGTATGTAATGTATGTATGTATGTATGTATGTATGTATGTATGTATGTATGTATGTATGTATGTATACATGTATGTATGTATTGTAATGTAATGTAATGTAATGTAATGTAATGTATGTATGTATTTATGTATGTATGTATTTATGTATGTATCGTATGTATCGTATGTAATGTACGTAATGTATGTAATGCATGTAATGTATGTAATGTAATGTATGTAATGTATGTATGTATGTAATGTAATGCAATGTATGTATGTATTTATGTATGTATCGAATGTAATGTACGTAATGTTTGTAATGTATGTAATGTATGTAATGTATATGATGTATGTGATGTATGTACGTACGTACGTACGTACGTATGTATGTATGTATGGATGTATGTATGTATGCATGCATGCATGCATGTATGTATGTAATGTAATGTAATGTAATGTAATGTATGTAACGTATGTAACGTATGTAACGTATGTAACATATGTAACGTATGTATGTATGTATGTATGTATGTATGTATGTTTTGTTTTGTTTTGTAATGTAATGTAATGTAATGGATTGTAAGGTAATGTAATTTAATGTAATGTAATGTATGTATCTTTGTGTATGTGAATGATGTAATGTAATGTAATGTATTTTAATGTGGCGTAATGCAATGTAGTGTAATGTAACGTAATGTAATGTAATGTAATGTAACATGTAAATTAAAAATACCATCCACATTTTCCCAGAATATCCGGACTTTACAATCATCCTGGCTCGCCAGGCTGCAGGCACTCTGTTTGTTATGCACTGCGCGGAGGGAAAACCACCAATGGGATGAGCACTTCGGCGGATGCGCGGCGTGGGCGACATAGCGTTCCTAGGAAACTCATAGGATATAATGTGGGAAACTCAGAAATAAACTTACCTTGGGTGGGGATAGTTTTTAAGTTTATAGCACCCATTAAAAGTGAGATTTAGAGGACGGTTTTTCTTTGGGCTAACACATGAATGGGACTACGTGGGGATATATGCCTGCAACCTCCAAGGAATGCATGATCTCAGTCCAAATAATGTGATTTGATGGTTTTCAAATTAGGAAAAATGGAATATTACCATTTTTTTGAAATATAAATATAAACATATGTATAAACAAATCAAATAAACAATTAAAAAACATAAATATAAATACATATACGTCGCTCTAACACGTTTTTTAGGGGTCTCTTTAGAGCCTATGTCTGCCTCCATTTTCTGCATTCTTGTTTCCTTAACGTTCTTCATTTTCTGAATTATTGTTCCCTTTCCCCCATTTCTGCATTATGGTTCCCTTAACTTTCTCTCATTTCTGCATTCTTGTTCCCTTAACTTTCCCCCATTTCTGCATTATTGTTCCCTTAACCTTCCCCCATTTCTGCATGATTGTTCCCTTAACCTTCCCCCATTTCTGCATTATTGTTCCCTTAACTTTCTCCCATTTCTGCATTCTTGTTCCCTTAACTTTCTTCCAATTGGTTTTCAAATTGGTCTCCAAATTGGTCTCCAAATTGCCACCAAAGACCCCATTATTGTTCCCTCAATTCCTTCACTTAAGGGAACAGTAATGGAAAAAGTTAAGGGAAGAATAATCAGAATTAGCTTGTGAAAAAGCCATTATTGTTCCCTTATCCCGCTGTTCCCTTAACTCCCCCAGCTAAGGAAACAATAACGGAGGTTTTGGGGTTTGTTTTCAGGCTCGTTTCTGGGTCCAAAATTGGCTTCCGCATTGCCCCTAGTGACCCAATTGCTGTTCCCTTAACTCCCCCAAGTTACGGGAACCATAATGGAACAAGTAAGGGAACAATAATGCGAAAGTTAAGGGGACAATAATGGAACACATAAGGGGGCAATAATGGAAACTTAAGGGAGCAATAATGGAAAGTGAAGGGAACAATAATGAATAGTTAAGGATACAATAGTGGATAGTTAAGGATACAACAATGGACAGTTAAGGGCACAACAAAGGAAAGTTAAGGAAACAATAATGGAACCCTAAGGAAACAATAATGGAAAGTAAAGGGAACAAGAATAGAAAGTCAAGGGAACAATAGAGACAAGTTAAGAGAACAATAGTGGAGAGTTAAGGAAGCAATAATGAAAAGCTAAGGGAACAATAATTAAAACTTAAGGGGGCAATGGTGGAAAGTTAAGGAAACAATAATGGAAAGTAAAGGGTGCAAAAATGGAAAGTAAAGGGAACAATAATGGAAAGTTAAGGGAACATTAATGGAAAGTTAAGAGAACAATAGTGGACAGTTAAGGGAAAAATAATGAAAAGTTAAGGGAACAAGAATAGAAAGGTGAGGGGACAATAATGGAAAGTAAAGGGAACAATAATGAAAAGTTAAGGGAACAATAATGGAAAGGGCAATGATGAAAAGTTAAGGGGACCCAAGGGAACATTAATGGAAATTGAAGGGAGCAATAATGAAAACTTAAGGGAACAACAGTGGGAAAGTGAAGGGAACAATAATGGAAAGCAAAGAGAACCATACTGGAAAGTTGAGGGGGCAATAATGGACAGCCAAGGGAACATTAATGGAAAGTGAAGGGAACAAAAATGAACAGTTACGGGGACAATAATGGACAGTTAAGGGAACAACAATGGAAAGTTAAGGGAACACTAAAGGAAAGTTAAGGGAACCAAAGTGGAAAGTTATCGGAACAATAGTGGATAGTTATATAAGGATACAATAATGGACAGTTAAGGGAACAATAAAGGAAAGTTAAGGGAACAATAATGGAACTCTAAGGAAACAATAATGGATAGTTAAGGGAACAATTATGGAAAGTTAAGGGAACAATTATGGAAAGTTAAGGGAACAATAATGGAACGTTAAGGGAACAATAATGGATAAAGAAAACATGTTAGAGTGACATCCTAATCTATATATATATATATATCTTTTTCAATATCTAAGAATGTTTGTATACCATAGAGAGAGAAGAGAGTGAGAGAGAGAGAGAGAAACAGAGAGAGAGAGAGAGAAAGAGAGAGAGAGAGAGAAACAGAGAGAGAGAGAGAGAGACAGAGAGAGAGAGAGAGAGACAGAGAGAGCAAGAGAGAAGCAGAGAGAGCGAGAGAGAGAGAGAGAGCGAGAGAAACAGAGAGAGAGAGAGAGCGTGTGTCGTGCACATATAGAACCAACAGTGTTGTGGGGATAGTGGGATCATAGCGCGGGTAGAATGAAATATGATGGGAAAACACAAATATGCAATAGCCGCCCTATTTAAAAAGTTGGTTGCCGGAAACCCCGTGGGTTCCCTAGGAAATTATTTAGAAATTATTGGACATGATGAATTTTCCATATTTATGTCCATTGTCTGGAAGGTAAATCAGATGACCATCCCAAAATTCACCAGGCAATTCCGACATGGCTGGGTTCCAACCATGTCCAACTGGTCGTTTATGGCATTGTGCTTGCCACGGGTTTACTTTCCATTTGTTAGATCACTATATCATTGCAGGTCAGGTTGAATTTTAACGACATCACCACAGCCTCACCAAAGATGATGGTAGAAGGGATCTTCGGAATTTTCTTGAGACGGCTATGGAGAGAGAAGGAGGGAGAGAGAGAGAGAGAGAGAGAGAGACAGGAAAACCAATTCCTTACCAGAGTCTACTCCTCAACTGATCACTGTTGTTTCTTGGGGAAAATTGTGTAGCTCATACCATGTTGCCAAATAAGGCCCCCCCAAATCTTATGGTTGAAAATGTTTCACGATTTTTCCACCTTCAAGGGCAGCATTGTCCCATACCTTGCAGCACCTGTAGGTACTCGGTGGGGATCCTTTCGCACGCCTTGCAGGATCACCGTTGGCAAGCTGCGGTGCATGTGGTGTCGAAGGGGGAAGGTGCATCGGGTGGGCCCAAGTCAGTGAGGATGCTTTCTGCCAAAACAAAAATGCATTTTGAGATCATTCAAGCCGCGAACAGTGGCAGTTCAACCACTAAAATTGTCATTTGAGCCATGGAAATTTGATTCTGAAGCGAGTACAAGATGTATAAGGCGGCCACAAATAGTAGCACAGTTTTCTGCAACGTAAAGATAAAAAATCAGAAAATGGCCAGGAGCAATATATACATAAATTACATGATTTACATTGTTTACGTGCATACGTACATGCATGCATGCATACATGCATATACGTTTGTATTTTTATGCTTAGGCATGCACACACACATATCTATGTATTTATATATATATAGTTAAATATATATATATATTACAAGCATGTGGACATTTTGAAGGCACGTGTAGACTTTGTATCAGAAGGCGGCACACAGAATTGCTCACGCAGCCGCAGGTCTTCATTTTTTTGCAGAACGCCATGTGTCTTCAAGTTTCGCACTGAATGCGATGGCTACAGTTTCAAAGCAGCTTGCTGATGAACTGGACTGTCTACCGTATCCTTTTTTGTAGGGTCCAACGCATCAATTGGTGGTGCTCAAGTCAGCCTCCCAACAAAAAAAAAGGTGACCTCAGTCCAAATATGGTGGAAGATGGCCTGTCCTCCCATGAGCCCAGCGGTTCAGAGACGGGATGGATGGCCACGACTGGCCATTTCCACTGGTAAACGAGTGCGTGTTTTTGGTCAAACACGGAGGCATACGTCATATCAGTATTTACCGCCAGATCTTTCTTAAACTATTTTTTTTAGATTTTGTTGCTGTTTGTTCGAAGTTATCCACGGTACAGTCAGTTGAAACTTCGGAACTCCTAGTCAGCACTTCAGACAAGAACCCCAGCAGTTCAGGTGGCAATGCTTACTGAGCTGCGATGCACCCTCTACCTTGGAAGCAAACCTGGCTCTGCGAATGGGAAGTGACCGAAGTGACCGAAGTGACCTCTGGCAGCTGAGCATGGCAAAGTTTTGGCAGATGCGAGGTGGCGCCTGATTTTTACCTCTGTTGAACTTAAGCCGTTGGCGCCTGATTTTTACCTCTGTTGAACTTAAGCCGTTGGAACGGAAATCCAGATCATGTGCACCATTCATATGTGGTTTTGTATGGTCTACTGTTGAATATCAGAGTATATATATATATACATACTTAGATCTTCAAACGAGCAAAAATAAATGCTCAAATAGGGTTTCAATACACTATTTGACAATCCGAGCAGTTTTATGAAAAACGAAACGTTGTGCTGTCATTTGTGGGATTTCATAAATTTAACGAGGTTAAACTTTATGGTTCACCAGGTCAACTCTGTTAGAAAAGTTTTCGGTGTTCTTTTAGCGAACATGATACAATTCGGAGTCCGCACAACGAGCGCAATTATGCGCACGCGAGCGCAATTTGAAAATTATACTGTGGGATTTTGTTCATCAAAGATATTCGTGAACAATTCTGCCTAATTATGTCAACGGTCGACCATAAGGAGATTTTTATTTCGAAGCAAACAGTTTTCTACAAGACGCGCAGTCTCCACTAAAACGATCAGTTTTCAACACGTGCACTTATTTCTGTACTTTTGAGGTTCCAGGTGCATATTTATACATCTATATATATATATGTATATATGTATTTATTTATATATATATATTTATTTATTTATTTATTTACATGCAAAATATATTCGATTTAGGATGATCTACTCCAGTTGTGGTAGTTTCCAAGGGATATCCAAGATCTAAAATGTTAATAGGTTGTTAGGATAGTCCTCATGCACGAGAACGTCCAGGCAGCTGACAGCTGGTTTGCAGCCATGTTTTGGAACCAATCACTGCATGTGCAGTATATACAAATATATTATTATGTTCGTATGTATTTATTGATTTTTATGTTTCATTTGCATACACAATCAGATACTTGTATATATATATATATATACCGCATTTATATCATTTTACTGTATCTATGCGTATGTGTGTGAGTGTGCGCGCAGGTGTGCTACCTACCTAGTTGGAGACCGACCTTCCTGCCTGAGACATGATAGAATTGCATTGCTGTAGTATTTCGGTTCTTGTTGCTATAAGCCCTGGTTTCGATAGGTTCAACGTCCATGTTGTTGGATTCTTACTCTTTGCCGGCAGTAAAAAATCTTAATTCTATGGCCACTCCTGTTCCTCTTATCCTCCCATGTTGAACGCTTAACTTATGTTAACCACCCATGGTATGGGTTTCGCTGAAAATTCGGTACCCCAAATCCACTGGTGCTGATGTTCATCATTTTCCCTGTTAAATAATTGTCATTTGGATTGTATCACTTGCAGGTGAACTGGATATCTTTATGACCCCATGATATCTTCATTGCAAAATGATCATCGATGAATATGGAGGTTACATCTCCGTTCTTGATGTTTGAGCGACCCTTTTTTCACCATGATTCATGATTAAATCCCAGAAAACCCAAACATTTTTTTTAGTTAACTAGTTAACCCTATTCCCACACTAATCCACCATACATATCCCAATTTGTTCACCATGTTTCACCATGTTTCACCATGGCCACCCTCCGCCAGGCCTCCGACTTTTGCCGGACCTTTGCAGTTTCAATACGCTGCTGAGTTGCAGCCCTTGGTGCCGAGGCCTAGGCCCCCTCGCCCGGCTGCAGGACCGAAAAATGGCGGTTGAATCATCAAAGATGGGGATTTCATGGAGGGACAATCAAACTTCAAAATTAAAGGACCGGATAATAAGCTTCCAATAATGAGCTTCAAAGGTTGTAGCGGGGACGGGGAAGGAAGGAAAGACAAAGGATGTGGTGAAGGATCGAGAAGTTAAAACAGTTGTGTGTGAAAGAGGGTGTATGTATGTATGTATGTATGTATGTGTGTGTGTGTGTATGTATGTATGTATGTATTATGTATGTATGTATGTATGTAGATGTATGTAGTTGTATGTAGTTGTATGTAGTTGTATGTAGTTGTATGTAGTTGTATGTAGTTGTATGTAGTTGTATGTAGTTGTATGTAGTTGTATGTAGTTGTATGTAGCTGTATGTAGCTGTATGTAGTTGTATGTAGTTGTATGTAGTTGTATGTAGTTGTATGTAGTTGTATGTAGTTGTATGTAGTTGTATGTAGTTGTATGTAGTTGTATGTAGTTGTATGTAGCTGTATGTAGCTGTATGTAGTTGTATGTAGTTGTATGTAGTTGTATGTAGTTGTATGTAGTTGTATGTAGTTGTATGTAGTTGTATGTAGTTGTACGTAGTTGTATGTGGTTGACAAAGCTGCGTGTGAAAGATACTCTGTGTGAAAGATGATGTGTGTGCGCGACAGTGCAGACCATTTTTTTCGGCAGCGCTGCCATGTCAGCTGCTCTGCATGCGGCAGCACTGCGGACCTGGAATGGGCTGAATGAGGTGTTCCATGATCTTCTGTACTCCATGCGGTGCAACGAGATGTGCTACGTGACGGCCGCGCCTGTCCTACAGCCACGAATCCGACGATGATGACATAGAGGAAAGGTACCTGGCCGCAAAAGTGTAGAACACGAATGTAGCTGGTTGTCAATGCAAATATGGAAGACAAGTGCAGAGCGCATGCCTGTCAAGGCACGACACAGTCACAGTGGCAAGCACCATGGTTATGACGCTAACTGTGCAAGTTTTTCCAAAGATGTCAAGCAACCACAAAGTTCAGAAACACACAGGCGTCGCGAACATTCACATAGGTGTCGGTTCGCCAGGCATCTGCACACGCTTCTTCCCACATTGGGTCAAAGCTCTGGCTCCCGAGGACATATAGACTCCTTGACTCATTGTCGGGCCGTGCGACAGGCGCCTGTCCTCCGTCCAAGAAGCTCACTGGATGGGCACCTGCGCCAGTTGCAAAGACACAGAAGCTTCATGCGTGCTATCTTGTTGCTACAATATCTTGGCACATTATGAACCCAAAGAACCAATCTATTCTACATAGCTTAACCACAGTAGATATCTTATTGATCAACCGTATAGATGGTCTCGAATTAATGTCGCCGCCCGAATGCCACACTAAACCAGACCCAAGCGCGCCGCGGAGTGCCATGAGTGCCACGCCTGCCACGCGAAACGAAGGTGGATGTGAGATTGCGCCACGCCTGCCACGTGAAACGAAGGTGGATGTAAGGTTGTGCCACGCCTGCCACGCAAAATGCCACGGCGTCACGCGCGACCAGAACGCGCCCAAACCAGACCCAAGCACGCCACCGAGTGCCATGAGTGCCACGCCTGCCATGCGGATGTAACGTTGTGCCACACCTGCCACGCAAAATGGCGCGGAGTGCCATGAGTGCCACGCCTGCCACGCGAAACGAAGGTGGATGTAAGATTATGCCAAGCCTGCCACGTGAGACGAAGGTGGATGTAAGGTTGTGCCACGCCTGCCACGCAAAATGCCGCGGCGTCACGCGCGACCAGGGCGCGCCCAAACCAGACCCAAGCGCGCCACGGAGTGCCATGAGTGCCACGCCTGCCACGCGAAACGAAGGTGGATGTGAGATTGTAACACGCCTGCCACGTGAAACGAAGGTGGATGTAAGTTTGTGCCACGCCTGCCACGTAAAATGCCGCGGCGTCACGCGCGACCAGGGCGCGCCCAAACCAGACCCGAGCACGCCACGGAGTGCCATGAGTGCCACGCCTGCCACGCGGATGTAACGTTGTGCCACGCCTGCCACGCAAAATGCCGCAGAGTGCCATGAGTGCCACGCCTGCCACGCGAAGCGAAGGTGGATGTGAGATTGTGCCACGCCTGCCACGTGAAACGAAGGTGGATGTAAGGTTGTGCCACGCCTGCCACGCAAAATGCCGCGGCGTCACGCGCGACCAGGGCGCGCCCAAACCAGACCCAAGCGAGCCACGGAGTGCTATGAGTGCGACGCCTGGCACGCGAAACGAAGGTGGATGTAAGATTATGCCACGCCTGCCACGTGAAACGAAGGTGGATGTAAGGTTGTGCCACGCCTGCCACGCAAAATGCCGCGGCGTCACGCGCGACCAGGGCGCGCCCAAACCAGACCCGAGCACGCCACGGAGTGCCATGAGTGCCACGCCTGCCACGCGGATGTAACGTTGTGCCACACCTGCCACGCAAAATGCCGCGGAGTGCCATGAGTGCCACGCCTGCCACGCGAAACGAAGGTGGATGTGAGATTGTGCCAAGCCTGCCACGTGAAACGAAGGTGGATGTAAGGTTGTGCCAGTTTGAGTGTGAGTGTGAAGTTATTGTATTGTGTGAGTGTGTGTGTGAAGTTATTGTATGTTAAGTTTGTGTCTGTGTGAAGGAAGTTATTGTATTGTGTGACTGTGTGTGAAGTTATTGTATGTTAAGTTTGTGTGTATTGCGTGAGTGTGTGTGTGAAATTATTGTATGTTAAGTGTCACAAAGTTGTATGTGTGTGTGAGTGTGTGTGAAGATGGTGTGTCACAAAGTTGTATGTGAAAGATGGTTTGTGACAAAGTTGTATGTGAAAGATAGTATGTGACAGGAGGCGGGAGGAGGCGGGAGGAGGCACCCGGGATACAGAATCAAAAACAAGAACCCCACACAAAGTTGTGGGAAATAAAACATGGCAAGCTGCATGGGAAATATGAAATTTAATTGGGACGAATCCACAATCAAAATGAAGGTTTAAGAAATTTGACGGACATGTGAAAATATGGAAAGACCTCTATCAATGGAGGTTTAGTTCGCTTGGGAAAATCATCTATAAGTGGTGGATTTTCCTGCCATGTTTGATTGCTAGAGGATTGGAGGGTGCCAACGAACTGCCAAAAAGTGATGAGATGTGAGGGGATATCATGACGAAACACATCTAAACATTCTAAACACTAACGACTGAGCATTTTTTCTTGACCGCTGCTCTCACCTGATTGATATCTAGGGCCCTAGGGTCAACAAAAAGGATGGGACTATGTGAGAAGAAGCTAAGCTCGTTCACAAACATGAGAAACATGAGAAACATGCATGAACATATCATGAACTTAACGGATACTGTCAGAGTGCGAATAGTTTCCCGCTTCACTAGTTTTGGTTACTGTAGACCCACACCCAAGGAAAGATACAGTAGTGATGGAATTGCGATTGCAGGGCCGCCCCTGACTTAACAAGTGGTTGGTGAGTGGGGTGGAAGCCAAATTATCCGCAATAGGTCTCGCATATTTGGTGGTTGCGCATATGGCATATATGTTCGTATGTCCATCCTTGGGATGGTTATGGGCTGCTTGGGCTGGAGGACCTTGCTTTAAGACGAGATCATGTGACCTTCAATACAGCCAGCACTGCAGCTGCTCAAGCACAGTGTTGGAGGCGTGGGGCAGAGGGTGAGGTGATCCAATGAGGGATGGTCTTGAAATCTTTGGAATGTAAATTTGATAGTTTGCAAAATGTGCAAGGTTTCTCTTGGTTTCCTCTTACACACATCGACACATCGGCCATTTTCGAATTACCAGAGGGTAGGTTCAAGAAACTGACAGATTTACTGTTTCTGGGTAATATGTGTCCTCGAATGTCACATTAAGATATGAATGGCGCATTACTATCCAGAAAACCCAAGTAATTAACCCCTCGCTGTTTTTCTTGTCATCCCAAGTGACCCCAAGTGATCCCAAGTGAATGTATTCCCCCGTATTCCCCCAAAACAAGTGTATCATGAATGCCGACCTCACACTGGAAAATCCTCCGGATCACTGTTTCTTTCCTCTTGGATTTGCGTCTCAGGGATCGTCATTAATTCAACCGGGATACAGATCACAGCTGGATGCTGGATGATTAGAGCAAGGTTGTTTGCCACATACAGCCTGGGTTCTGTAATGTCCTGTGCGTCCAAATTCAGCAGTTTGGATGGTAAGCAAATATTAAGCGCCAACAAATCCAGTCCAAGGGAAAGGAAGGGTTTTACTAATTTACTATGTTTTACCACATTCATCTATACCCGCGGGAGATATCCCATGTATACCTGGTTTCTCACCACCGTGATTGACTATGGAAAAACAACTTGTTTAGACCCTAAATTGTATGAATTTTCTAAGTGAATTTCTCTCAAAACAATGGAGCATTCCAGGAAACATGCCATTGTCACCGATTTACATCAATTTCATTCAATTTGTCCACCTGAAACTTCCCATATTCCCTCTGGAAGTGTGACCTGTTGATCCAATTTCGCAGTATCCCACTGGGCAGGACCGGCCTCCAGCTCCTGCGTGGGGTCCTTCAGCACGCCACGGCCGGCCCCTCCGCCTTGGCGGGTGCGTTGAGGGCTTGGAGCTGGGCCAGCCAGCTGTGCCGTGGCAGGAAAGGTCTGGATGCCGTACTTTCTTGGAAAGTTATGGGAAGTTCACGGGGGCATGACAAATGATAAGAAATCGTGGGAAAAGCAGGAAAATTGGTGAAACAACATGAGCAAAGAGGAAATTTTGGTCATGGGAAGATCCGAGAAATTTTAAGGAGGAAAATGTAGGATGTTCATTGGGTAAACCTGGGAAAACCGTTAGACAATTGAAAGGAATAGAGAATCATGTAAAATCTGGGTTGGGCGAACAGCAGTTCTTTGTAGGAAGCCTCACTTTGCATATACTAGTAGGGTTGTCCCAGGCATTGTTTCTCGAAATGACATCACATGTTGCTGATCCTCCATCCAAAACCAACCCCTTACAACTTGGATTTGCTGGAAATGTATAGTCTGACAGTCAACCTGTCTCACAACAGCCAACCGCACCCCGTAAATTTCGTGAAACTAGAGGGTTAGGCATGTGGGCACATGGCTATAGATAGCCCCCGTTGAGGTTCCGGGAGGTTGAGCAACTGGCGCTTGAAATCGATGCACCCTTTGCCACGGCCTGGGGCCTGAGCATGTTCTAGATGCTGCAGTCATGCTGTACCAACAGGGAATGCCATTTGATGAATGGTTTTGAATAGGGCAGGAAACGATATTTGAAGCAATCCAATCAAATTGTTAGTTTGCAGTGGCTTTTGGTAAAACTGTGGCTTCTCAGTTGAAGAATCACACACAATGTGATCCCCTTTGTCATGTATAGATACTCCACTTGGTTGATCGGTTGTCATGTGTCATTCCTACATTCTCATTTTGGTATATTCCGACTTTTGGCTCAAGTACTGCTAAAACAGTGCGCGTTTTCATTGTTGCTGTGATTGGAGCTGTGTCATAGTAACAACAGGTTAACAGCCTCATTCGTCTCTATACATATCTTGTGGTACTTGCTTGTTGAGCCCAAGTATAGTCCCACATTCATATCTCCATCCCACTTGCCCTCGTGCCGCCATCGATTTGCAAGGCACTAAGCTTGTGAGATCAGTGAAGCAACACATTCTCGATCGTCGTCAAGGACCGTTGGGAATCCGGGGCTAGTTGTCTGCACACCTTGCAGCTCTAGCTTCACAAGGTTCAGATTGAATCCATATTAGGGAGTGGAGTGATCGCATTTACTTGTTGAGCCTCCCCTCAATCCAATTGTCAGCATTCCAAAGACCAACTTCAATAGTGGATCTTCAGTTCGGCATTTTGCTAGGTTGTTCTCCTTGAGTTTGTGAATACATCCCTGAGTGTAGAGCCTGAAGATTAATCCGTAAAATCCCAGTAGCCAGTCGGGGTGAATCATTGCATTCGGTGATACATTGGTCCAAACAAGAGCAAGACTAGTTTCACCGCGGTCGCAAGAGTTTCACCGCAAGACTGCTACCGCGACGCAAGACTCGCAATCTCTTTGATCTTGTATGCATCGGCGTCCACCAGAACCGCCGTATCCACCATCTCGTGTTCGCTCTCGATCTCGTTCGCGTGATTTGAAAAGTTTGCATACTCGACTTCAGGGAGTTCTTGCTGCTCACCGCCGAAACACCAACACAAGGCGTGCGGGTCGTAGGGGTCAAGCTGGAAGAAGGACTCGTGCGATTCATCGTCATATCTTGGATTGTTTGGTGGAGCTCTTCAAAAGTTTGCTGCAGATCACAGGACTGGCAGACCCGGGGCGAAGGCAGTTGGAGGTGAGACGTGATCAAGCCCAGAATCGCTTGGACTGGTTGCATTCTCCGGCAAATAACTTTCCTGAGGACAAGTTCACTGTCTTGCCTGATTTGCGAGAATATCTTGAGCAACATCATACTTGGGAAACTGTTTCGGTCGACTCAAATTCTGTCAACGATCCAGTGGAATTGCCCCCCAACATCTCAGAATCTGAATCAGAGGAAGGCACTCCTTATCAACGTTCAGATCCGATTTTGCAGAGGGCGGTGGATCGTTTGGTGAAAAGTGGACAGGTCGTTCGAACTAAAAAGGGCATTGAACTTTCGGCTTCATCACAAGAAGCGTTGGCGAGGAAGGATTTGTCTGTGCCGCAGTTGCCAGAGAGACTGCGGGGTGGGTCGCGTGTGGCTCCGTCATCTCAGACTGCTGCATCATCCTCGACAGATCCGGCACCAGTGCTTTTGAGACTAGCTCCAAAATCTGTGCCAAAGTCCGCGCCAAAGTTCTTGAAACCCACTCCAAAATCTTTGCCATCAACTTCAAGTGATTCTCAGACAGTTGTTGTTGTTGAAGAAGATACCCAATTGTTGCTCGATCATCCAACGCTGGTAGCAAGTGAGGTGACATTCCGAAACTTGTCAACAGAGGATCTTGATAGATTGCAGTTGCAGGCTCACGAGGGGCAGTGTTCAGTTGCTCGAGCCCGGGCTGTGATTAGCTGGGATCATCATCAGGTTTTGGATACGTTCAGGCACTCGAACAGACGGGTTTCGAGGGACTCAGGTGGCATTTATCCGAGAGAGACTCAAGACGTGCTCAGTGCTCAGGACTGTGCGTCAATTGCCCAACATCAAGATTGCGCAAGTTGTTTTTTCTTTTTGTCACTTGGAGGATACCGTTCGAAAAGTCTTGCGTTGTGCATCGAATCAATCAGAGCTTGCTGGAACCTTTATCAGTCGCAAACCTACGGGACCACTTGGCAAACTTGCTGTGCTGCAGGAACTGTTTTCTCTTGATTCTTCGGTTTATCACGTGGACGATTCACGTGGACGATTCACCGGAGGTTCTTGGGGAGATTGACCAGTTCATCAAGGCACATCCGCAGTGTGCGTGGAAAGTGGTTGGCATTTCGGTTCCTGGCAAAAGGACTGCTTCGGGGGTGTCGTACTACAGAAACGTAGCAGAGGTACTCTCAGCAATCCTTGCAGACTTCTGATCGTAATATAGCACAGTTGGCAAGCCTTGGAAACTTTTTCATTCTTTGGTCAGTCCTGGAACGAATAACAAATAAAATATCATCACAGTTTCCTCAGCTAGCCTTGTATCATTTGATTCCTCCTCCGTGTAGAGTCGAGTCAAAAAGACCTGTGCGCTGAATCCGGGATTGGTTGTTTGCACTTCTGCAGCTCCAGTTCCCAAAAGATCCAATATCCATTGTTGCATCAGTTGCAGCTTTAGAACAGTGTTTGAGTGTTAGGAACCCATCCGCTAGTGGTTGAAGGGCATTTTGCTCGTGCGTGCCAACATTCAGACATGCCAACTATTCAAGAAATCATGGAAAGTCAGTCATCAGACAATCCATCGTCGTTGCAAATATCATCGACAACATCGCCTGAGACAGGTTTGGGTGGTATCGGTAGAGCACTTCATGTGAAGAAGACTGGTAGTCATAGTACTATAAGTAGTCGATTCTCCGGTTCATCAACACCTGTTCATACCCCACAGCATGTAAGAAAGAATACCAAGAAGATTAAAGATGGACCATCATCATCTCGAAGTTCTAGTGTGCATAGTGCGCCACCTAGGATGCCATCGCAAGGGTCACATCGGGGGTTGGGTGCAATCGTGCCAATGGGTTCAGAAATCACCACCGCACAAAGTTCTGTTGCTGAGCCACGTGTTGATGAGAACATGTCAGGTGAGCAGGGTGTTTATATTCAGAACACTCAGCAAAACCTTTATGATCAAAGATCTCTTCATGTTCAAGTTGGTGTGGACCCAATGCAAATGATTCAGCATGTCCAATCGGTCGAGTCCCATGCACAGTCAGTCGTCCAGGAAGCTGTAGCACATGTACATGAGACTCAAAGAAGGGTTGAGAATGTGGTTCATGAAACTCATGCTCATGCGCAAAGGGTTGTAAGTGAAGCCCAAAGGGAATCCACTTCAGTGGTACTTCAGGCCCAATCGCATGTTGCTGCTGTGGAGGGTAGGGCGAATGAGATTATCCAAGAATTGAATTCAAGGCACCATTCAGAGCTTACTAGGGCCCAAGATGTTGCAAATCAAGTGCAATATCAAGCTCAAGCTTGTCAACAAGAATCGGATGCTAAGATTCAGAACTTAATGGCTGTTGTGGAATCCCAAAATCAGGCCTTGGAAATCCAAAGGGTTCAAAATGCGGAGTTGTCTGCACGCCTTGCAGCTCTCCAAGATGAAGTGGTCATGTTAAGAAATTCATCAATTCCAGCTACTCCTGCACAAGATAGAAATGGCGCGGTGAACCAAGAGGAATTGAGAGTAGTCATTGATTCACTTCATAGGGAGATTAGGCAAAGCCAAAATCCCAGCATGCCCATCCAATTGCCTGTGCCACAGAGGATGTCCATAGCCACACCGCCTTATGACACTATGTCGGCATGTGCAGGGTATCCACAGCCATTCCCTGGTCAGTGTGGTCCATCAAAGGGTCATCGGTCAGGGCCAAGTTCGACTGTCACTCCACCGCCCATCCCGCCACCAGGACATAGTCCGTCAGGTTCGAGCTCATCAGAGGAGGGTCATCGACCAGGGGGGTTTTCGGGTGGTTCACCAAATTATCCGGGCGGAAGTAGCAATGGGGGTATCATCCAAGTTTGCATAGCATTGGGGTTGGGTCGGCATCGTTGTCATCCGAGGAGTGTGTGTATCGCTATAAAGCATTGCAGTCCGTAAAGATTGAATCATTGCCCCAAGATGCTGCAGCCTTTCGTGGATGGAAAAATGGACTTGTTACCAAACTATGTAGCATTGATCTCACTGGAAGGGATATCATATTGGAATGGATCTTGGAAGCCCTTGATCCGAACTCAGACTTGAATAATAGTCAGTGTATGTTCCTTCCCAGACTCGATGCATACTTGGCAGCAGTTCTCACCGAACCAAAACACTTGAGAGGGGACTTAGGAGTACAGTTCCAATCTTATGTGGAGAAGTGCCAGCAAAACCGGGTTTCCCCAAAAGGTCGGTTCATGCTACAGCTCATAGCCCGTCGGTTTCAATTGGACTTGAATAGGGGTGCCAATTTGACCCAACAGTCTCTCCTAGAGTTGACTCTTGATTCATATACGGCTGAAGCCCTTGCAAAGTTCATCGAGAGGATTGAGCTTGTTTTGAACTCTATCCCAACGAGCCATCAGCCCAGTGAAATGACAAAGTTCACATGGTTATTCAGCAGACTCAAACATTGCCGTACCATGCAAAGGTTCATCGATCGCATCAAAGATGCACGTGACGGATCTCATGTCAGGACTTGGGATTGGTTGTATGATAAAGGTGATGGTAAGGGTAAAGCTGTTCCAGCTACGGGCGAACCTAGTGCCGATGATCAAAAGACACAAAGTGCCATGCCTAATCCTGCAGCCAAGTCCAAGGCAAAGCCGAAGACTGGTAGCCCAAAGGGTGGTGGGAAAGGTAAGGAAGGAGGTTCTCAGGATCAGACAAAGGCTGGTCCGAACCCAAAGGGCAAAGCTCCTGCTGGAAATCCAAGTGCGAAGGCGAAGCCAAAGGCTGAGTCGGGCAAGCCCACGGTCAAGTGTTTGTTTTACCCGAATTGCAATCGAGGTAGCAGCTGTCCGTTTTTGCATGAAGGAGC